TTTAAGCATGTCCTTTTGTTTTTAGTTTTGTTACTCTTACACTTCAAAAAGATCATATAGAAAACATGGAGGTTAAATCCCACTGTGTTTTTCATAAGTCATCAAGAATATGCCTTTAGGAATTAAATTGTTCTAACTTCATTCCTATGGGCAGTAAATATTTAAAAATGTACAGAAAAACCAATTGCCATGAAATTTACTAAATCTAACATTTGTTTTATATATTTTCTTAATTATTTAGATATTTTGATTATTATACTATAGTACATGTTAAAATGAGTGCATTTGTGACTCCAACTCTTCTCCAATTTTATTCCCCTTGAAAGCTTCAAGAACCAGTCCTGCTACTAGGCAAGGAAAGGTTTGCAGGAGTCGACATAAGAGTCCGTGTCAAAGGAGGAGGTCATGTGGCCCAGATATATGGTAGTCTTTTTATTTAATTTTAGAAGCTACTCAGACTTTTGTAGAATATAGTTAGCCAAATACATGTGTGAGGTGGCATTGAATATTTTAGAAGTATGGTCAGTAATTGTCAATTTTTTGGTCCTGTGTTTTGTTAAATCTGTAAAGATACAAAATAAATTGGTTACAAGATGTATGTTTTGTGATGTTATTTGTATGTTCTCAAGATACAAGAGGTGTTTTGTAATTTTCAGGTTTGCTGAATTATAACAGTTGTATTATTTGTGTGTTTATGTATAATTAGTTAACTTTTCTAGTACTATTTTACATTTTTTTCAAATGTTAAAAGAAAACAACAGTCAATACTACTTCCATTTTATCTTATATATAAAAAAAAGGGAAGATAACATTTAACTGTGAAGCTTTTATATTACAGCAACAAGACAAGCCATCTCCAAAGCTCTGGTTGCATACTATCAGAAGTGTAAGTTTGCTATCTAATAGTAATTGTATGTAGGAACAAATCTCCCATTTTATATAAAAACTATTGTATTAATTGATTATATGGCCTCAGTAACATCAAAGTGTTTAGTGACTTTATATTTTGTTAAAAATTTAGAAAATATAATTATTTTTCAAAACTCGATTTTATCAGCAATAAAAGATCTAATATCATTTAAATATTAGTGCTTCCTCTGAAGCTGAAATCTTGAGAATACAAGTAATTGTCTTTATTAACAACATCTCAACTACTGTTTTGATTTTTTATAGATGTTGATGAATCTTCTAAGAAAGAAATCAAGGATATTCTGATTCAGTATGACAGAACTTTATTAGTTGCTGACCCACGTCGTTGTGAGCCAAAGAAGTTTGGTGGACCAGGTGCCAGAGCTCGTTACCAGAAGTCCTACCGATAAAATATTGTAACATCAGTCAGGTCTTAATAAAAAAAATACATACATATATGTGGGTTGGAAAAAACAATTTTTTTTGTGTGGAGTAGGGATGAAGATTTTGAAATTTATATTAATAAGGTAGACAAAGAGAAAAATTTAATTCCATATTTACCATCCTGTACAGGAAATAAGGACATTTAAATTCAGATACACCATATGGTAGCTGCTAATAAACTTCTAGAAAATTAAATATAAAAGTCATCATATAGGTTGCAGTTAACTTAAACTGATAAAATATAAACTTTTTTATTAGGTTATTTTTGTGCATTTTGATTACATTAAAGATGAACTACAGTTTTTAGACACGCAAACACCAAATACATCAATGTATTGAAAGTTGTAGTAGGAAATAGAGCTGAAGAACATCACCTACTTATGATCTACCAGTCTTATCCACTTCATCTTGGACAACTGATGATCATTATGAATACTATAGAGCTAAATGGGATTGAAAAAATACAAAACACCTGTTTAAATCATTAGGTTACCCAACCTTTGTGGAGTTTAATCGAATACTCAAATTCATTTATTTTCTGATAATATTACTCATGATGGCTCAGCAGTGTGTGTGATATAGATAGATGTAGCCATAAGGTATAGATCTCTTGTAATATATTTTGTCATTCCTGAAGCAAATCTAATTATATTTTAAGGAATTATTTACATTGTTCATTTAGAACTGGTGCATTCTGTCAAATATCCAGTAAATTATTCTTGCTACATTTTTAACACACTCAGCACTTTGTCAAGTGTTGCCATTACTTTGAATTTGGAGGTTTGAGGCTTACTGTGATTTTCAGTCATGAGCCATGCATTACAAGTTAAAGTTAAGATGTTGGTTAATAAAGACATTGTTATTATAAAGAACTCACAGGCAGTTGTATACTGTGGGAACTAAAAGCACTAGCACAACTGAGGTGTGTAGTTAGGTCAGAGATTTGGGAAGTTGGAGCACTATTAGGATATGCTACCTTGACGTTAGGATTGTGAGGTGATTGAGAAAAAGCAAACACGAAAAGCCTAAACGTGCAACATATACATTCTCATTTTATTTGAGAAAAAATGCAACACAGTTCACCAACTTATGCCTGAAAGTAAAACAGAATAAATTGTATTACACCTCACGGTAGTTTGAGTAATTAATAATGCATTACTAGCAAGCACTAAGGAGCTAGACCTGTTGGTAGAGCACATGACAGGTCTGGGGTTTAAATCTGAAATGAGGAGAAATATGTCATAACATAAATAAAATGAAAAATACCACAAAGCTGACAAGCTTGCACATCTCTTAATTTTAATAATTTATTTTCAGGCACGTGATAATATATTAGAATTTTCAAAAAGGTTTTTTTGGCACAGTTAAAGGTAAACTATTATTAATTACAGCTGTCTAGTTTTGATAACACATTTACCATCATCAGAGCCATATATTTCCCTTCCTTAATTTTCAAGCTTGAAGTAGAGAAGTGTAAAAGAACTAGAATTTTTTTACTGAAGATTGTTATCAATACAGATTATAGGTTCGGTGAAATTATGTACATTTTATTTCAACTAAATTTGTAAGTAGAAGTTTCTTATCACTGCCTCAGAGAAATGAAATGCATGTGGTAAAGTAAGGGTGCAAAAAACGCATATTTCTACCAAAACTAATATATGAATTTATTAAGTGATTTACCAATACATGTGTTTTTTCGAATCAGAGTACTATAAGTATGGTAACTCAGAACAATAAAGATCATTGATTCGCCACTACTAGCACTAACATCATTATTAAGAGAAGTATAGTATTTCTTATGCAGCTTTGAAGTGGGTGTTGTCTCATCCGGTTTCTCAGCTTATGTAAAAATGTTTATTTTTTCGAATTTCGCGCAATGCTACACAAGGGCTATCTGCGCTAGCCGTCCCTAATTTAGCAGTGTAAGAGTAGAGGAAAGGCAGCTAGTCATCACCACCCACCGCCAACTCTTGGGCTACTCTTTTGCCAACGAATAGTGGGATTGACCGTCACATTATAACGCCCCCACGACTGAAAGGGCGAGCATGTTTGGTGGGATGTGGATTCGAACCTGCGACCCTCAGATTGCGAGTCGAGCACCCTAACCGCCGGACCCTTATTTAAAATACGGTTCGTGCTGCTAAAAGGATGCCTAACTACAGCAGTCGAAATTGGCACCACCCTCAGGTCGTAACCGATATTTGCTTTCCACAAGTATTGCACAACATTTCTATCTTGATCTTCTTGCTCTTGTTTTGCAATGTACTTGAATGAGCTCAAGTCAGCCCACATTGCATCAGCATTCAGTGTATTAAAGAAGCTACATTCTCTCTTTACATCACCATATGTCAAGCTGTACATTGATTAGATCGTTTGGAAGGAAGCACATGCGTTGATGAGGGAGACCCCTTGATTACTGAATCGGTGCTCCATTTGTTCAATCATAGTGCCAACAAATTTGTTAACGTTTTTGAAGGTTTGACTTGCTGGCTCATTTTTAAGAATCAGACGCACACCACAAGCCTTCCTTTTGAGATCTACGACAGTTATAGAAATAGAGTTTTCTTTAGTTAAATGAGAACACTGAGTCCCTATATCTCCCAAAGGTGTTATCGTCGACGCCACAAGCTGAGGAACTGACAACAGGTTTGGTTTTTTTGCAAAATTTTGCTGAGATTAGATACTGCACATAAAGCCTCATCCAAAACTGCTAGGTTACAAGAAAACTAGATTTGTTCATTTCCAGCAAGATACCTCCTGCTAACGTGTAGGTGCTCACAGGCCATCATAATTGAGCAGTAACAAGTTAAGACGGCATGAACAGATTTGTAATTACTGAACCAGCTCACTTCGACTGATTTTAGAATTTTTGGTTCAGGTTCTTCAAATGACCTCTGAACCTCGTGCAACATGCGTTCACGCTTTGATGAATTGTGGAATAGTGAATATATATCTTTGATGACGTGAAGAACCTTCTTCACAAACATGATTTTATTTCTAGAGCTGGTTAAGGCTAAAGATAAAAGATGGGCCCTACATTGTACATAAGGAATTTCCTTTCCTGCTTTCTTTGAAAGTCGCTTACGCACACGCACACACCACTTATCATTCTTGAAAAGTTGATGGCACCACATAAAGCACAAGGAATATTTTTTTGTAATCTAGGTTTCTTTTCGTCGGCTCTCTGTAAAGCGAACTTAAAACGGTTTCGGAATCAGTGCTTGCTAGATCAGTAATGCTCAGGATACTGTATTTTATTTCACTGCAGTCACTATAGTCATATAGCGAATCAAAACTGACTACTGGCTCACATTGTTATCTGATTATTCATCAGCCATTATAGAGTGGTATTTGTTATTCAATTCTGACGCGTCACAATCACTTAGAACTTCAGCAGTGCAGGTCAGCAGATCGCAAGCTGTAGTTTTGTTTACATATGTCGAACGGTAGCTCATAAAAAGATGAGAAATCAAATGTCCATACATTGTAGTATTTGGAATTTCTTCTTTTGTTAAGAAGTAATAGCTTCTCACAAATGCAGCCATTGCTTGTCTGTTGCGACTACAATTCCGAGTCGACTGTTGAACAAGTAAAGTTTCAACCTATCTTTTAAGACTCTCTTCATGAAGTAAGCTTATGCACTGCTTGAGCATGAGTATGTCTCTCGGATTTAGAATGTTTGTCGAGCTTCTCGATATGCCCAGTTGCTTTTCGAAAGTTGTAAAACGGAGTTTTTACGAAAACATCAACTGTTCTTTGTAGTGCATCTAGATAATTTTTCAGAAATTCTTAGCAGTATTTACAAAACACTTCTCCAAGGGATGTATCAAAAACAGTCATTCATATTTATCTTCCAATTTCTTCTGGTATTTAACCGAAGTCGATGATGGGGGTGAGGAAGCAGCGGCAATAGGGTATTGACGAATCAACATCACTTGTTCCAACACTCTACCGCTTAATTTCAGTTTGAGCCAGAAACTCAGCATCAGCACCACTACTCATTACCTGTAGTCTAGGTTTCTTTGTAATAAATTGTAAAATTAATTTCTGCGACATACTCCACCACAGAAAAGTTCAAGTCACAAACTTTAATCACAACATGAAATAATGCACAAAACAACTAATTAACATAAAAACACTATTATACAAATAGTTTCCACATGGGCTTAAAAACCATGAACTTCTTTTCTAGAAACGTCCACACGTCTAATAGTGTTTACACACTTCGAGAAATTGGAAGAATGTTTGGTAATAAGTCTATGTTTACCTTATACAATCTAACTCTAAGTATGGACTCTTTCACTAGCTCTTACTTTTCGCGATATACATTGGCTAGCTGCAAAGGTCAAACACGCCATTTTTCGAGAAGTCACCAGAATTTTGCGTTATTCCGTTTGTATAATTGTTGAGTCCAGTTAACGTCTCCCAGTAAAAAGATAAAAAATTAAATCTGTAAAAAAGACAAAATGGTGAAAATATTTCAGGGTGACTTTTGTTGTACAGAAGGAAATTTCCTCCCCCCCCCGTAAACTCTCTGAATTCAATATTGATTTCAAGAGAAATGTAGGAACATTATAGTCGGAAAAACAAAGTTGTTTTAGACATTAATCCCCCCAGTGGCACAGAAGTATGTCTGCTGACTTGCAATGCTATACAAACCGGGTTTCTATATACGTGATAGGCAGAGCACAGATAATGTGTATGTGTGTTTTCTTATAGCAAAGCTATAACCCCCCCCCCCCAGTGGCACAGCGTTATGTTTTCTGACTTACAACGCTAGGAACTGGGTTTCGATACCCGCGGTGGGTGCTGATAGCCCATTGTGTAGCTTTGTACTTAATTACGAACAAACAAAACTTCATTTAGAAAATTTTATTAAATTAAAAATTCTGGCCATTAGATTTAATATAATACTGAATTACCAAATAAAAATAACGCATAAGTTACCAACATAGTTATTTGAATCCGAACGTTTTATTCTGCTTTTAAATTTTTAGTCGACACTTCGCTCAATAAAACTACAGGTATATGTATTTATTAGTGTTTGCTGTTTTTGTCCTTTACATGAAATTGTATATTTGTATGCATATAGTATAAAAAAATCAGTGTAATATATTTATATATAGTCAAGTTGCTAGCTTTCATTTTATTATAAAGGAAATTTCAGTTAAAACGCATTATATGATAAAAGAAGCTGTAGTGTTTTGTTACCCTATTTTAACAGTAAAGAGGGCGCGGCAAATTATGGTCGTCGCATAGTTGTAACTGGGTAAATCACAAGTGGCTTAATTTAATGGATCTTATGATTCTTGAGTTGGTTAAGGAAAACTAATTTTAATCAAGCAGTATATTTTTTAAAACATTGCTTTGTTGCTTATATTATTGCAGTTTCAGTAACCAGACTATGCATATGCATTCATATATTTTTTTTACAGTTACTAGTAATAGTATATATTAATACTAGTATTATTACTACTACTACTAATAGTAATACTAGTAAAACTGTTTTCTGAAGTTGTATTATAAATTGTAAATCTAAGCGTAAAATTTTGATATGAACAAATTTTGTTAAAAATAGAACAAGCCAGGAGCTGCATTACATCCATTAGTACAAAACTTAGTTATAACTTATAGTTATACTCCAATAATATGGCAATAGTTAGAACTTAGATGTGAATCGTGTTGATATTAATCATTTGATGGTAAGTATAATTTAAAATAAACATTAAGGAATAAGTACTAGTAAATAAGGAATAAGTAAAGAATAAGGTTGATAGACTTAAAATAAGGCATCATTGTCACTACCATGACCAGACAAGGTTTTAAAGGTGATCAAATGTGCATTGTGGTGAGGGAGTTCGGGAACTAGGAATAAAGAAATTCACATTTAAACTTAAAGATAAAAAATAATACATTAACAGCTTAATTCCAGTAATTGTAATGTTAAGAGTATTGTATTAGGAACAAAATGAATAAGTGCAGGGTTCAAGTTTAGATAGTAGACTAGGATATAATGGGAGTTATTGAAACATGTTTAAAAACTTTGTGAAAATTGATAATTTGATAATATTAATAGAGGTTAATTTGTAAATTACATGTCTTAAAATAAGAGGTAGAGTGGTATTCTCTATAAGAAATGAGCTGCAGCATGTTGGATTGAAGCCATAAAAAAATGGTAAAGAGATTGAATCTGAGTGGGTTACATTGGGGTTTTGAAGGGTATGAAGTTCTAATTAGCATTTTATTATATATAGCCCATCTGGTCAGACAGTTGAGGTTAAAGACAAATTGTATAAAATGATGATGATTGCTACTAATATATATAGTATACTGATGCACTAATTGTGGGAGACTTTACTTTTAATTACATTGATTGGAATTGTATAGAGTTAAGTAGTGAGGTGTCTTGGTATGATTAAGGATGATTTTCTATATTAAGCATAGGGTATTCAATTTTATATATATATTGTTAACTGCTAATTATGGTATATTTACAAAAAGTACAAGTGTTGAAGTGGGTAGAGAATATTTGGGGAAGAGTATCATTGCATCTTAAATTTTTCTAAATGCTAAGATAAAAAGAAAAAGAAATATTAGTTCCTCATTTTCGGAAGCCAATTTTGAGACTATGAGACAAAATACATCATTAATGAATTTGAATAATGAGTTAAACAATGATATGGGCTGGTTTCAGTTTTAAAAGTACATTGTTTTTAGTTCAAAACCTGTATATTCCTAAAAGAAGGAAAAAGATAACAGAGAAATTTAAACCTGATCAGTTAACTGTAGAGAATTTTAGTGGTAAAGACCACAAGTTTATGAAGATTAAACTAAGAGGTAGAAGATTTACAGAATGATGGGAAAGCTGAGGATGTGGTTAAAAAAAAAGGCAAAAGAGTTTAAAAGATACCAATATCTGATAATGTTTAAAATAAATGTAAGAGCAAGAGTTTTTATGTATGTTATATGTAAGCAGAATCTTAGTTTGGATTGCACCCTTCAAGGATACTGATGACAAGATTTTTTGTTGAGGACTGTGAGATGGCTAAGCTGTTAAATGTTTTTTCTTTTCTGGTTTTCCAAGAAAAGCTGTTAACAGTATTCCAGACTCTGACTATTCTATTTGGGAATTAATCTTAAACACTTAGACATTAATCTCTGTGGTAAGTAAAAAGATTGAGAGATTACAAGTAAATCACTATGATCAGCGAAGGTTTTAAGGAAGGTCGGTAGACATTGAGTAGGTGCCTGAGGATTGGAGTGGTACTGCTATTTCAAAAGGGAATGATAAGAATTAGTGTGCAAATTATTGAATAGTTAGCCTTCTATGCTGGGAAAAAATTCTAGAATCCGAATGAAGAAGCTTGACAAAAATGTTTAATGAATTATGATACTATAAAAGAGAGCCAACATGAATACATTTAAATGAAATCTTGTTTTACTAATATCTTGATCTGTTCGTTTGAGGATGTTATCTATGTGATAAAAATGGTATGGATTTGTTATACATAGATTTTCAGAAAGCTTTTGATTAAGTTCCAAACTGAAAGTTAGCTAAGAAAACCACATTAGTAAGAATTGGGAAAAGACTAGTTAACTGAATTGTAGGATGGTTAGATGAGAACAAGCAAAACAAAAAAAGTGTTATTAACAGAGTCCTGCCAAATTAGGTCTTTGTTACTAATGGTGTGGTAAGAGGTCATTTACATTAATAATATTGATAAGGAATAATTTAGTAAACCTTGCTGGTGCAATTAACCTGTTGGATATTTCCAATTCCATTGATGATGTTGAGGTACTTCAAAATGATTTGGATTAATTGGTAAGTTGGACAGGTGGTTGGCAAATTTGTCTTTACTTATAGTAAATGCAATGTAATGCATTTGGGTTCTCAGAATTTGGATGACATGTTTTATATAGATGAGAATGCATTTAACAGTGTGACAGAAGAAAAGGATCTCAGCTTAGTAGTATAAAATTCACTCAAACCCTTACAAAGAATAAGAGGTAATTATAAGTTTTCAAATCACTAGTTAAACCTCAGTTGGAATATGTATGCATTTTTGGCCTCCTTAACTAAGAAAGGATACTGACTTAGAGAAAGGTATTTGGGAAGTCAGTAGAATAAACACTTCTGATTTAACTGTGATTTCAACTCTTAAGATAAATAAAGGATCTTTCTCACTTAACCCATACTTGTAATAATTTTTTACTTTAATCTATTAACTTTATCCTTTAACTTTGTGCCACAACTGCATAAAAAATAAAGCCGAGATCCTTGTTACTAGTGCTTGAACCTTAGTTTTTCTTATTTACATTAACAATATTGATACAGACTCAATAAATTAATAAAGCTGAGGTCTTGAGAATGGCATTAAACCGTTGTGTCAAGCTGTATTGAGGATGTCAATGTATTACAGAACAAGATCAATTGGTCAGTTGGGAAAATATTTGACAAATGACTTTTAGTTTTAGTATGTGCAAGATAATACATTTTGGGTTATAATTTGGATCATGCATTTAATACAGATGGGAATGCACTCAATGAAGAATTTAAAGAATCTTGGTACAGTAATGGATAAGTCATTCAAGCTGTCAAGACAACTGTTGCTATTATTGAAACTAATAGAATTTTATGATATATTTATAGACATATTGATTACAAGTTACTCAAGGTAGTAATCTCTTTATATAACTTTCTTGGAATACTGTATACAGTTTTGGTATCCTGATCTAAGAAAGGATACTGATTTGTTAGAAAGAATTCAGAATAGGGTTATGTGGATGATTTTGGAGATGGAATGGAAAATTGGAGAGAAATAAGCCTTATTGTACATTAATAATATCAATAGGGAACTAGTAATAAACCTTGCTGGTGCAATTAAACAGTTGGATATTTGTAATTGATTTATTTGGGCTATATCCTGAAGATAATAGGATGAGAGGACAGAAGTTTAAGATTTGGAAAACTCTGCTAGGCTTCAGATAAGACAGGGATAGCCTTGAAAAATCAAATGGATTCTTATTGTACACAATTTTGTTAAAATGTTATGTGAAATAGATGTGGGAAATTAAAAAAAATAAATCACATTTAATTTAACACAATTGTATTAAATACTACTTTAAATTACAAATTATGTAATATTGAAAATACATTTTTGATAATGCCCAATTAAATCAACTGTTTGTATTCCATACATATACATTTTCTAAGGATTGGATGATTATTCTCCAATTTACTGTTGTAAATTAGTACTTGAGTTAATATACTGATAGGTTCATTAGAAATTATTGTTACATCAAACTTTAAAAACTTAGAATATTTCAATCAGTTTATATAAAATAACTGTTGGGTACCAATATCATGTTTTTATTTTCAACACCCAGTCTATAATTCAGGGAGACATGTTTGGGGTATTGAACCTTACATTGGATTGATTAAAAAATTTGTGAGTATCAGTCAGTAGTAAAATGTCCATTAGATTAAGAAATATATTTGAATTAAACTTTACTTTTCTAATGATATAACATTTGTTGGTTTTTGTTTGCTAAAGAATGAGATTTCCTCATCATAGCCCTTTTGATTTTGTACTGAATTAAATGACTGCTAAATGTAAACATGCAGTCATTTAGAAAAGAAAAAAAATATTTATAGTAAGAAAATTTGTTAACTTATAAATATTCTAATATCATAAAATGGATTAAATTCTTTCAGTATGATGCAGTTTAAAGGTAGCTCATTGGGGGAAAGATTTTTGGATTAGTCATAATAATTTTTTTTTATTTTGGCTAGCAAGTGCAAAATGGTCACTACAGTTAATTATTCTCATTACAATGTTGTAATGTTTTCATGTCTTAAAATGCCTTTGCAAAGTTTCTGAAGAATATCAAGACATTTAGATATACCTTGACTAATCTGTTGAATGTGTGGATATTTTTCTTGATCATTAACTATGTAGGAGTTTGTGTACGTGACCTTAAGTAATCCAAGATTTTAGATAGATCATTATGAAAGAAAGCCTATGAAGTTTTAGTATCGCAATCTTAAAAAGCTTTCTAAAACAGCTTTTCATGTATAAAAACTTTTAAAACTAAATAGTATTAGAGATAGTTTCTGGGTGCAGTAAAAAGTAGTGTTTATAGATTTATTCTTAAAATTTAGTAGTAATTTAAGTATTCTATATGTTGGTATAAAGAGAACATTGTATAATACAAACTTTTGTGTGTATCAGGAATAATACTGAATCTGAACCTTACTTTGGACTTCATTATAAATTTGTTAGTATTAGTCAGTTGTGACAATGTCCATCAGACTGAGTAAGAAAGTTATTTATAGCTTAAATTAAACTTTACTTTTCTTATAGCTATAAGTACATCTGAAAGTTATAATGAAGAAAATGCCACAGAAATCAACTTTTTTGTTCAGTGAGACAGACAGTAGTGAGGACGATATTCCAACATTGAGAGACAGGCTACTTAAACAAAGTGGCCAGAAACATCTAGAAAATGGACCTATTTTACCAAATTCTAAGGAATCAAATACATCTCTATATGATTGTAAGGACAAGAAACTACTAAGAGAAGGAAAGAAACTGAAAAAGAGTTTTTATTTTAATGATGAAGAAAAGAATGAGTGTGGTACTAATTGCATGATTGTTCCAGAAACCCCGAGGTAAATTATATAATTATGTACATAAGATACTCATTCATTTGTTTTTTGTTTTCTAAGGAATGAAATATTAAGCTTTAATATTTTGCTAAATCAGGTAAGAATTATGTTTGCTAAAAACATAACAGTTTGCAGCTAATGTTTGGATAAGGAGCTGTGTGACTGACTATTGTATGCAATTTGATATTCATGTTTTATAGTTTATGTAATTTTTAAAAATTTTGAGTAAATAAATTAGGTACTTTAAATTATGAATTATCTAATACTGGAAATTATATTTTGATAATGCCCATTAGAATCAACTGCTTGTATTTCATTCATATAAATTTTCAAAAAATTGAATTCTTCTTTCATTTACTCTTATAAATTAGTACTTGAGTAAATATACTGAGATTCATTAGAAATTGTTACATCAGAATTTGAAAATTTAGAGTATTTCAATCAGTTTATATAAGAATAAAATGTTGAATATCAATGTTTGGGGTGTTGATTCCCAAGTAAAGCTTTACAGTACTCTTTTTTTAAAATCCTTAATAGAGATTTGAACTCCTTGTTATAACTGGAGTGTGAATTGCCTACCAATATAGCCAAATTCACACTAGTTTCCAGGCTATGAGGGAGTAAAATCCATATCCTTATCCAAAATCCTACACATAACATGGTAGTGTCTGCACATGTTGGACAGTACAAGATCTAGTTCTTCAGTGATATAAAGCCATTTTCTATATGGTTTTCATGAGTTCTGTCAAAAGGGTTGACCAAGGAAGGTTTCATAAAGCTTACTTGTCACTGTAAGATGGCTGTGTTACCTGCATGAACATGAACACTTGCTATTTTGTGTATGAGAAACATTGTTTAGCCAACCTCTTAAACTCTGGACCTTCTTGACCAAACATTATTGAAACGTGAGTTTGTTTGGCAGTAATTTTTCTTTGCAATTAGCAGATTAAACTTTCAATTGGAGTACTTTTTTGTTGTTATTGTAACTCAAATACTGGAAACTGTGTCGCCCCTCATCTGTAGCCCACTCGATCCCCTTAACTTAGTCTCATTGACTTGCAGAGTGGGTGACTGTGATTCTGTTTTAATTACTCTGTTTTGTATAAAATTGGGATAATAAACATGATATAGAATAATATACTCACAACATTTTTTTACTGAATATAAAATATTACCTACTGATATATTAGGTAACATTTTTGTTTGTTATGTTTAAAACCCAAAATTTTTTGAGATGTTCAGGTTAATGTAAAACTAACAAGTGCTTCATCCTAAAAACATACATGGCTTAATGCTCTTTTCTTTTTAGCCCCATCTTAATGTGTAATAAAAGAAGAAAGCAAGAACACAAACTAAACAGACCCAAAAGAACATGCTTAAATTACAAGCTAGAAGATATAAGTACCTCGGTTCAATCTAATGATGTAGCTGAGACACTTGTAGGAGAAGATATTTTTTCAATGTCTCGTAAGTTTTCTGTTATGGAAAAAAAACAAAGATCAAAAAATACACCATTGTCTTCAGATAGTCTACCTCACCTGACCGGACATCAAATGACTGAAAGCATACAGGTTTCTCAAGTGATAAAAAATAAAGAGAGTGATTTGGAAGATACATCTGTTGTTTCTTCTACTCCATTCAGTAGCTCAACATCTTTATGTAATAGTGATAATTGGTTTACCACACATTCCTCAAACTCGTCTTGTACTGATTTCATTTCATCTGAAATATCTTCTGATTTATGTATAAAAAAAAATCTGCCAACAAGGACTCATAATTTCCCTCACTGTAAGACATTTCCAAGTGTTTCTCACCCAGAAGAAAATTGTACATCTTCTAGTTCAACACTTAATAGCTGGACATCATCTAGCAAAGAAAACCCTGTGTTTCTACCATCTTTCAATACTAATGAGTCTACTTCTGAAAAAAATGCTATGAAAGAAATCCAGAATGATATTGCAGGATGCCAAAGATTAAAGAAAAATCCATTTCAGATCATTGAGAACAAAAAGGCTTCTAGCACTTTAGGCATCAACAGAAACACAAAAAAACACTCCACTGCTCATTCTACAGAATTTAATTTTGATCAGTCTGTGCCATTTAGAAAATACGAAGCAACTGTGGCCAACAATAAACCAAATTTGGGTGGTACAAATGTTTCTTTATCAAGTAAACTAGCTCCTTCAACTTTGAAGCACCGTTTCCATAGAAATGTATTACAACCACTCATTTCTCCTTTCAAATCTCCAAATAAAGGGGTTAAATATGTTGATAGTGAGAGTGATGAGGATTTATTTAAAATCACATCATTACCACAAAACTCGTCAGTAAGGTCACAGCAAGATAATACTTCCAAGTTTTGTAACAAAGTACCTTCCCCTGTAAATCAGAAACAATCATCCTTAGAGCAGCATTGTGAAAAAAGTAACAAACAAACACCTTCAGTTCAAATTTCAAATGGACAAACTATTTGTAAGAGTCATTCTACAGGAGAAAAAAGTTATTTTTATGTACCAAACAGTGGCACCAACCACATATCAAATTCTGATGAAGGAAGCCATCTGACGGTTGTTGGTCAGGCCTGTAAATCATGGCCCTCTACAAGTAATTCTGGTGCAAGTAAACCTGCTCTAGAGAAAGAAAAACGACTTTTTATGTCTGCTCATTCTACAAGAAGGTGTAAAAGATATCAAGATAAACTACCTTTAGTTTCAAGACAACAGAAATCTCTGAACAGTATAAACAGCATTCAAGACATAACTACCGAAGAAGCCAGTGGTAGTGTGAATCTTAATAGTACTGATGATTGTATTCCAAAAAGTTTAGCTAATAGATCTTCTCATTTTCACCACAGCAAACATCAAAAGTCATTACATGCTAGAGGCCAACGATCTCAGCTTGTAGAAAGACCTGTACATGAGAGAACAGGTGTTTCTTATTCACATATGCATAGTCAAGGAACATTAAGTTTAGCTCATCTAAATCCTGACTTATATGATGCTGAATTAGAGAGTGAAGAAGAAATTATTAACCCCATTTCTCACACTTCACCATCTGAAATCAAAAATAGAACAGACATATTAAGCCAAATGGGAATTTCAGTAAGTAGAAATATAAGACCAGGAGAACAAGGAAGTGGTTCTAGCAGAAATAGGCAGCAAGACCACAGTAGTGATGATGAGGTTATCATGATTTCTAACCACGGACCGTGTTCTTCTAGCAGAAACCTCTCTCGTGGCATGTGTACAGATCAAGATTGGCGTTCTGTAGATAGTGGTACGTTTCTGACTTCCATTTTTGCCTTAAACTTACATAAATGTATCTTTCATATAACTCATTTTATTTCATATGTATAGGATGCTGTTTCTCCTTCTTTTATGTATGTTTAAACATATATTTTTAAAAATATTTTTATTTCATATGAAGTAACTAGAGTGCAATGTAAATTTTTGAATATTAAGGTTAGCTGGAATAAAAGTTTAATTTTCCAAACAGTACTACATCCTCTCACCCAAAGCTATCTCGATTGTGGTCTGCCTCTAAGCATTGATGAAAAAAATTTTGCTACAGCACACTAATCTTTGCAGTTTTGCAGAAAACATGCTGATCATGCAACTACTCTCCACGAATTGTACTGCACCTTCTGTACTGGCACAGCTAGCTCCCTCTACTATTCTAGAATAATCCTCACTTTCTCGATGTGCATTCTAGTGTGTAGATGTGTGTTTTAACTCACTCTCTATGTGACTACAAAATTTTGATTGTGTTTGATCACAAAATTTGTATAAGTTTTGACTTCTTGTGTTTGATTTCCATTGTTTCTACTCGTTTGTTTTAGAAATATTTTTGTTTTTCAACTTCTAATTTGTTCATATGAATTCGAGATTTAATATGTCAGATGATGAAATTCCCACGCCAGTTGACAGTGGTTTTGATACGAGTTCCTAGGTCTTGGGGGTCAATGATGTTGGCTGGGGAAGTATATGCTTTAGTTCGACGGGGAGGTCATGTCTTACACTTGGCTGACAATTTTTTCCTTTCACGTTAAGATTTTCTGAGAGAAAGTATATAACTACTGAGTGAAAATTTCTTTCTATAGCATTTTCCACCTGTTATTGTGCCTCCATGTAATCTCCTTGATTATGTATTGTTCTTTTTCCCAAGAGATCTGTGGTAAGTTTTCATCATGTATTCCTCAATCCCAATAGGTATACCCATGTTTAACAAGTTTATGTGAGCTTGTGTGGATTGACCTAATTTAATCACACAATAATTTAGGTCTTTCATGTCTTCTCTGCTCAGTATTTGGTAAGTTAGAGTTTTATAATTCTTGTACCATCTAAGTTACTTTAGTTTATATTTGTGTTTAAAGTTTCATTATTACTTTTTTTTAAAAGTTTTGGTATATGTGTGGGTTTTGTATAAGAGTTACTATTTGTATAATTGTAATTTCGGCCACTTTTGAGGGTTTGCTGGTTCATTAGTTATACTTTCTTTCACTGTTTATGTTAGTTTGTAAATTCCTTTTTCTTTACTACTAGTCACATCTAATTGAGAATTAGATTTGAGTCAAATTTTTTATTGTTAACTGAGTGCCTTTTCATTTTCATGTTTTTCAGGGTAGGTTTTACTTTTGTGTCCTTTATCTTATCAGTTGTCTTGCCTAGTCAGTTCAAGACCTACTGTGCAAAGAGGCTGTTGACCAGGTGGTACCCACTCATTCCCGTTTAATATTCGTCTTGGTTGAACTCTTATCTGGAGCCACCTTGCTTCTACATGGAGTCCTACCTTCATATTCCAACTGCTCCAGTGCCATCTTGTTTTCTTTGGTTCATCCATGAGGGTTGTGTCTTCCATTTTAGGGTGCTGCCATTTGGTCCCTCTTTTGCTTCATGTGTTTTATCAAGTGGTATGCTGTTTTGACCATCAATTTCACTCGTGGAGTCTTCAGATTCTCCTTTTCATGGACATCTAGCTCCTGCTCTACTCTTCTCATGCCTAGTTAGTCAATCATGCCTGCTTACTTCTTTGGGAAGCTATTTGGCTAGGGTTTTTCTGGTCTAGTTGGAGAAGTTCTTAAACCCACTCCATATCTTATTTTATTGGGTTTTTTCTTCAATTCCCATCTTTGTCAGGCTCAGCCTTTTTCACTTTGGCTCAGGGATATGGAGCAGGCAGTCTCAATGGTCCTACCCTCTTCTTTTCTCACTGTGCAAGGGTTCTTTCATTTTTGAGGATGTGAGCTTTTTTGGAGGATTTCATTCCCTTGTTGAGCTCACATGTATGCTTTTCAGTGGACGCTTCTTGACCAATGGTACTTCTCCCACGATCCCTTGGACCATCCCTTTACCCTTTCCCCTGGGATCAGGGCCAACCTTGCTTGGTTGCTCTACAGGGATCTGACCACTGTGGGGGTTACCATTCCTCCACCTTGTCCAGAGTCTCATCTGTTTACTGATGCTTCCCTGGGGGGTTGGGGGGCTTTCCTCGAATCCCAAGAGATTTACAGTCTATGGTCTGTTGAGGAGGCTACCCTCCATTTTCAACATCCTGGAACTTTTGGCAGTTTGTCTGGATCTGTATCATTTCCTCCTGCTTCTGATGGGTGGGTGGTTATGGTTCATTCTGACTATTCCACTATTGTCGGCTATATCACCAAGCAAGGGAGAACCAAATCCAGATTTCTGTGTTTTCATAATCTGAATCTTCTTCACTGGGCCCATGACCACTACATGGCAATCTTGGCAAGTCACATTCCCAATGTTATGAATCTAGTGGCTGATTGCTTATATTGACTCGACCAGGTTCTCCCCACAGAGAGGTCCCTTCTTTTACAGGTATTTTGGTGGGTATGTTCTCAACTGGGAACACCATAGATAGATTGTTTGCTACTCACTGGAATGCCATAATTCCTTCCTCTTGATCTCTGATTCCACATCCTTCAGCTATGGGAGTATATACGTATAGTCACGATTGGAGGGGTCCTCACCCATATGCATACTCTCTGATCAGTTTCCTCTCCAGAGTTTTATCTTTATCCAGACCACTCCTTGTTGTGTCCTGCTTGTTGCTTCAGTGGCTTGCCCGGATGTGGTTCTCTCTGCTCTGGACCTTACTGGAATGGCATTCCCTGGCCTTACTTTTGTCCCAGTCTCTCCTCCAACAACCACAATTGAACATAGTTCATTCCGACATCACCAAACTCCATCTTCATGCATGGCTTTTGTTTGGTCCCTTGCCTCAGCTCAGGGACTCATCCCTTGTGTAGAGTCTTTCCTTTCCTTTCCTATTCCATTCGATATTCCTCTTTGTCTGTGTACCAGAGGCATTGGTCTGTCTTCATACCTTAGTCCATTCACCATAGTATCTGCTCATCCTCACCTTCAGTACCTCATTTTTCCCAGTTCTTAGCCTGGTTGTTTGTTCAGGGTTTGTCTGTATCAACTGTTTTTAGTTATAGGGCTGCCCTGCTAAACACTTTCTGATTCTCTTGTTTCCATAAAGCTTTCTCCTTCTCTGTTATTTCCCTCTTTTTTTCTGTTCCTTTCATAATGTCCATCCTCCACATCCATTTAATAATGGCTGGAGATGGCTTGAATGGGTAA